AGGATATCATGCTTGGTAAAAGGGGAAGGCTCTCAATAAGGTGGACTGACACAGCGGCTGCAACAATGGGCTCAGGTACAGCAAGGATTGTGAGGCTGGTGCAGGACAGGGCAGTGTTTCGTTCTGTTGTACACAGGGTCGCTATGAGTTAGAGCCGACTCGATGGCACCTAACAACAACAATGATAGTGTGGTTATTAAGATTCAGTGAGTTAATGTACATTAAAGCCTTTAGAGGAGTGCCCAGCAGCACACTGTAAGAGCTCTATAAACGTTCACTTAGCGTTGTCTACCTCTCTGTTTGTAACTGGTGCCTGGCGCTCCTTGTTGGAGATTTCCCGTAGTTTACCCAGATGCCTGTGGGCATCTGGGTAGATGCTGTGTCTCCACTGTTATAAACAGGGCTGCAGTGAACATTCTCGTACCCAGGAATGACCTGGGGGCTCGTGATTCCTGGGGGCTCATGGGAGGCTCTCTCTAGGGCAGGTATTGACAAGTGGAAATGCCAGGTCATAAGAAATGCCCTCCTTCAGTGTTACTAGTTCTGTCCTACCAGTTTGCTCTCCAAAGTCGTTACAGTGTTTGTCTTCTCGTTGGCTGTACCAATCTAACATGTCTGACAAAATTGACAAGTCCTGGGGCATAATTGTTTATCTTCCTTTTATCTTACCTCCATTTTTGTTTCTATCCTTCCCTAAGACCAGAGGCATTTATCTGAGAGATGGTCAGCCCGGGTGGAGTCCAGAGACTTACCCACGACGGATGACATTTGGGCCTTGTTTTAGCCTCTGACAGAATCCAGGGCACGTTGGCATCCCGGAAGTACGGCTGGGACACAGCGGGAGAGCGCCCTTACCTGCGTCGGCTCCACCACGGTCTCGAACTTCTTCCTGTAGTAGTACTCGTTCACCCGGCAGGGCCTGCAGCACTTGCAGCTGGGGTAGACATATGATCGACAGCATGCGCTTGAGAACGTGTCGATGAGAAAGTCGATGAAGAAGGTGGCCTGGGGAAAGCCCACAGAAGCACCACAGCCGTGAGCCTCCTGCTTCGCTTTGCTTTTTCCAACTTACCAAGTCACTAATCTTTTTTTTTTTTTTTTAAATTTCATTGTGGTAGAATGTACATAAATAACAAAAAATGTGTCATTTTAAGCGTATGATCCAGTGACATTAGTTACACTCACCATGTTGTACAACCATCACCACTATTTCCAAATCTTTCATCCCCCCAGAGACTCTGTACCCCTTCGGCAATAACTCTGCCCCTTCCCTCGCGACCACTGATAATGGCCTCTGGTCTCCACGCGTGTGCTGCCTGCTCTAGGTATTGCGTACAAGGGGCATCGTACAATGTTTATCCTTTTGTGACAGACAGATTTCACTTGTTGCAGCGTTTGTCAGAACTTTATTTCTGTCTGTGGTGGAGAAATGGATGAGACTTCTTTTGGCCACATCATTTTCACAAAGCTTGAGAAAGAGACTCTCTTACCAAACCAAAGTAGGAAAGGGTGGAGCCGATATACACGACCAACTGGATAATGTCAAATTTTCCTCCCTGGAAACAAGAGTGGGCAAGTTTACACGATCAGAATTCAAAGCAGCTCCTTTGCTGTAACAGCAGTTGTCAGGTCAAGGGGGGTGGGAGGCACGCAGGGTGTACCTGGCATGCTCAGTGCCGTCCGCCAAACAGGCTTTCTTTCCTAAACCGGTTTGAGTTGGGTTCTGTTACTTAAAAATCGTTTTTTAGAGTGATCTCCTTCTCCTTTTTTTTCTTTTTCTTTTCAAAGCATCAGCATATTTTTAAGTTGAAAATTAGAATTGTTTCCAGCCCCGCTCTTGTACTCATGTGTCAGATGACTTATTCATGGACAGAACCACGGGGAGGGTTCCTCCTCGCTCTTCCACGTTTGAAATGCACAGTGTCAGCTAATGACACTGAGCAGAGGACTGAGCAGAGGCCGTGCTCCTTGGAGGCACCCCAACAATAGTCGGGACACGGTCCTAGGGATGGAGGGGGGTGGGGATGGGAGCAGAAACTTACAGTGCCAAACACCAGGATGTCAAAACGAATCCCAAAGACTTTTATCAGAGTCCGTTTTTCAACACCTGATTCCTTATAGTACTTGGCGTATCTGTAGGAAGAAAAGGACCCATATTTATAAAATCTTGCTGGAAGTTCTGGCGTTGTATGAACAGAAACACTGAAACAGGAGCTGGTCTTGTCTCTTTTATCCATTTCTTTCCTCTGCTGGGGTTGGCAGGTGTAAGAACACCACGCAAACCCATGACCTGCTCTCACCAAGCCCCTGGGACCAAAGAGCCACTTGCACACATACCCACTCTCCTTTTCCATCATTACAAAGTGATGGAGACTCTGCTTCTAGTGTAAGGCTAAGACGAACCACTGCATCAGCAACAAGCAGGGAATTTTAAAACACTGTCCAGCAATCTAAGTCTCCCTTCAGGTCTGGTGGGGAGGTGGAGGGGTGGAGGATAGGGAATAACTGCTTACTGGGTATAGAGTTTCCTTTTGGGGTGATAAGAACGTTCTGGAACTAGACAGAGGTGGTGGTTGCACAGCACCGAATGTACTAAATACCACGGCATTGTTCCCTTTAGAATGGTTAATTTTATGTTTTGTGAATTTTACCTCAAAAAAAAAAAATAG